AGATTGAAATGTAAAACTGTCTATTTGCTTTTTGTAAAAGTTAAAATTGTTATATCTTTGCAAAAGAAATTTAAAAAAGCTTTATTTTGCTTGGTAGATCTAAAATAAGTATTTCATCCAAATTCAACTTTAAATTTGAGGTTAAATTGCACTATTAACCAATAAACAAAATTTCCAGTGCAGGTTGAATGATTTGTGATTGAAACTATAAGGCTAACTCCTTTTTCCCATGACCGTAAATGTTGTTTTTATGTCTGCATCCTTCCCTGTGCTGGTGCTGCAGGTTCGGCAGGAAGCCTGTCCTCTTTGGATCCATCGCCATCCTCAGTGTCTTCAGCAGCGCCGTGGCTTTCGCACCATCCTGGCCGATCTTCGTTGTTCTTTTTTTTATGCAGGGTCTGGGTCAGATTGCTTCATACATAGCTGTGTTTGTATTGGGTAGGTATAATCATACATCTTTAATCTCTCTGTATCCTAATTTACAAGTCAAAGCAGCTGAAACCAGTTAACCCTTGGTCACCAAAGTTAAATCATCGAATTTCTGATCAGAATCAAAATTAAAAAATGCCTTATTGACAATTAGTGGTTCTACACATAGTCAAGCAAACAGAATAGAATTGTCCCACAATTGGGAAATACTGGTGTTACAGCAGCAATGGTCACACAAATGTGGACCTTAGAAGAGTGTATGAAATGTAACAATAGTGAAGAGTTAAAACAAAAAAAAAAAACAAGTAAAATACTGTACTGTAAAGTGTTTTAACAATATAATTACTATGCACCTACACAATGTATAAATAATCAATTAACATAAATAAAGAGGAGAATATGAATATTTAGAAGGAACAAATGTAAGCTGTATATAAAGAGCATAAAGAGCATGTTAGCTCTTAGCTGTTAGCTGTAAACAATGTGATTGAATGTTGGATTTTTTGTCATTTTGTAAATGATTAGCATACATTATATATTAAACTTTAACAATGAGCTGAATAATTAATTTATGCTAGATATAGAAATGCACTGAGTCGATTACCTGGATCGGATATTGTCTCTGATATTGACTAATTAGCTGGATTGGATATCAGAGATCCAATCAAGTTCACTTCCAATGAAACTGCTATTTCTTTCTTTTTTTCTGTTTACGTGTTAAGAAATAATAAAAAGTACATTTATATCTGTGTTCATTTGATACCTATTTTGAACAATGTTTATGTGGTTCATCCATTAGAAAGTTGAATTGGATCGGTATCGGATATCGGTCGATACGCTTTGGATGATTGAATTATGTTTAGGTCCAACTGTATCTGTACCAGATTAGATTGGGAAAAAATGGGCTCAGTGCATCTCTTATGCTAGATAATAATAAAAGAAAAATAGGAGTAAAATCCTTTGATTTATGCGAGTGTTTTATTCACAGGCTCAGAAATCCTTGTGGGCTCAAGCAGAGTCCTTTTCTGCAGTCTGGGTGAGCCTTTTGCCTTTGTGTTCTCCATGATGCTTCTGACTGCAACTGCATACCTGGTCAGGAGCTGGAGATACCTGTCCCTCATCATGGCTTTACCTGGCTTGGCTTGTATCCCCCTCTGGTGGTAAGATGGTCTAACTACAACATTTACTTCCCTGTGGAAGGTGAATGTGGATCACAATGCATTGAAGACTGGTCTAACATCAAGTAGCATAATCTTAATCATAAACTAGTGAAATTTCCTGAAACACTGCAATAAAGATGCTTCTACTGTCTGTAGTTTTTATTGCTGAGAGATAAAAAAAATAATAAAAGACCTCTCTCAGCTGAAGGAGTGACTTTTAACACAATACTTTAAATATATTTGCAAAGTGCTGTTTTTTGGAACTGAAGTGCATTTTTCCTTTTTTGATTGTGTTAATATAATTTCATGCCCAGCTCTAAATGTTTATAAATATCCATTAGGATGATTCCAGAATCTCCTCGCTGGCTGCTGTCTCATGGCCGCTTGCAAGAGGCCACACGTCTGCTGAGGTTAGCTGCTCTGGAGAACAGAGTGGAAGCCCCACCTGTCATTTTCGACACTTCCAAAGTAAAAAAAAACACCAACTGAACTTCAGCTCAAGAAGCTCCAATTAGCTGTTGGTGAGATATTGATGTGTTTCTGTTTTACTCTGCAGGCTGAAAAAACTGAAAGACAGGAGCCAGAGTCGGTCAGGTTCCTGGACCTGTTGAAGAAGGCAAAAATTCGAAATGTAACGATAAAACTGTGGATTATTTGGTGAGCAGCAAATGTTTCCTTAAAAATAAAGCAAACTCTGTGGAAAACATCTTTATGATCACTGCAGCCAAGCTGAAAATCTTACAGAAAAATGCAATATTTTTAACCGTTTTTTTCTCCATATGATGCTACAGACTCAGTTACTTTATTGATCCAAAAATGAATAAATTAAAGCTGTGTCAGTTTGTCTTGTTTTTTTTTTCCAGGTTTTCTGTGAGTGTCAGCTACTTTGGCCTGTCCTTTAGTACCTCTTCTTTGTATGGAAACCCCTATCTGAACTACTTCCTGCTCACAGCTGTGGAGCTCCCAGCATACTTTGCCAGCTGGCTGGCTGCCCGAAAGTGTCCTCGCCGTCTTTCATTTGTCAGCTTCTCCCTTCTGGGGGCACTGGCACTTTTTCTTATCCAGCTCACCATGAACAGTGAGTGTGATAAGTATATAAGAAGCACCTTTATCACCGAACACTCTGACTTTTTCAGAAACATATTAAAGATAGAGGGCCATTCAATAAGTAATGCCCCAGACCCACTTCCAGATGTTTGATCGAGCTGAAATTTTGCACGTGACGTTATTTAAAACTCTATAAATTAAGTAGCAAATTACAGCTCTGAACTATTTGTGGTTTATGACTTACAGGTGTTTGAACTGAGTAAAGTCTGAACTGGAGCCTGTTGAATGTTAAGCAGTGATTCGGTTTTTCTATTGAAAAGGACTCACACCACAGGAGACTTTTGATGAAATTAAAGTAACATATGGTGATAATGCCCATTATATGACCTTGCAAAATGTTTTACAATGTTATATTATGGGACATTATCACTATAAGTTACTTTCATTTGATCAAAAGTCTACCATTGAGTGCGTCCTTTCAAATGCAAAAACTCAGACTTGACTCAGTTTTAACACCAGTAAATCAGAAACCACAATTAGTTCAGAGCTGAAGTTTGCTATTTAATCTATAGAGATTTAAAATACTTCACATGCAAAATTTCAGCTCAATCAAACATCTGGAAGTGGGCCAGGGGCATTACTTATTGAACGCCCTCGTATACCTCTAACTGGTATTATCAAGTAAAAAATGTGTCAGTAACTGATATACCACTTTATCACTGTGCTTATTTTTGATAAAGTATATCAGGATTCATTTATCAATTTATCAATTAATTATCATTTCAAGGGTGACAAATGATTGTGCAGTGAAGTTATAAATGCTGATTGTATATAAAACAAACTTATTTGAGAAAAGAATGATTTTCTTTGTATTTTTTTAAGAAGTCACACCAATGATCTTGGCCTGAAGTGAGAAAGTAATTTCCTCCTAAACCTAATAGTTGATTGTGTCAAACCTTGCAGGAATAGCTACGACTCAGCGATAAAAATGAGTCATTTACATCACTGAGCAGGAACTTAAATTCTTATTTCATTCTTTTTATTTTTACAGCAACCACATTAAAGTGTTTAATGAGTAATAGCAACTTGTCCAGGTTCTGAAGCAGCAAATTACCATCAATTTAACACAAATGCGTTTGACCTTTGGCATGGTATTCTTTTGTAAAAGAGGGCATTAATTTCACATAATTAGATGGTACTAGATGTAACAAAAACTTCCAAAACCTTCATTTTTGTCTAAGTAGGGTGAAATATTTCCTCAATTTTTTTTTTTTTTCCAACAATATAAAACAATACATGTGCTCTAGTTGGTCAACGGTGGTTTTGGAATAAAAAAACCCTGCCAATATGCTTTTTTTGTTTACTTTACTCTGTCTCAGTAATTATTTTTTTTTATCATTATCTACCTTATGTATTTATTTATCATAAACATTGATCACAAAACTGAAGTAACTAATGCTTTATATTCCCTTTAAGCTTTGATGTTGTTACCACATTCCAAAGACGTATAAGTTATTATTTTTGTTTAAAATTGCTTTTCTGATTCCAGACTGATAGATAAATCAGTTCCTTCTTATTGTCCTTCATTTTGGTCTGTTTACAGATTT